AGTATGATAGCTGGAAAAGGCGTGTGGTGGTTGCTAAGGTATGAGTTTACCACCTGGGCGCTTTGTGAGTAGGGCGGACAAGACTTGCGAATAGGGATGAGTCCCGGTATTCGGTCTGGTTAGTTCGACCCGGATTGCTCTCTTTTCCAGTGGCTGGAATAGGCGTGGGCCCATAGTTAGATTTTAGATTTGAGATTTAACTTTATTTTGCTGCACGCAAGCTGCAGATTGCGTGTAACACCAATATATAATAAGTAATTCGTTTTTTTTACCTCTTAAAATTTTCTTTTGTCCCTGAATAATTTATTTGTCCATCATGAGTTTTTGAGTATTGTTTCTGAGTGAGTTACGATATTTTATTTTTTTTATTTAAGTAGAAAATAAGACGTAGCTCCAGTATGAGCAGTGAACAATCTAACTATATTTTTATTTCAGCTTTTAAAAATGTCCTTTAAACCATTCTGATTATGTTTCTCCTTTTAGTGTGATGTAACAATGGTAACAATTAGCTGATAAGGTTTTGTCAATTGGTTTTGTATCAATTCTACAGTATCAGCAGCAAACAATCTAACATACCTATATTTTTATTTCAGCATTTAAAGATGTCCTTTAAACGATTCTGATTATTTTTGTCCTTTTAGTGTGATGTAACAATGGTAGCAATTAGTTGAGAAAGATATGGCTCAGCAGCAAACAAGCTAATAAATATTTTTATTTCAGCATTTAAAAATGCCATTTAAAAGGGTCTGATTATTTATGTCCTTTTTAGCGTGATTCAGAGGAGTGAGGATACTCATAAGTCAGGAATAGCCGAATGTTATCGACGCCTATGATCCTTATGATAGGCAGTCATTTTCACGCCGTGCCTGCACCCCGTGTCCGCTGATGTTTGCGAGTAGCGGACTAGTAGGCTTTGGAAACAGTTGAATGTCGGAGTTTTGTTGATTTCGGCCCAGAGAAGACATTGTTTGTCAAGCTAGTTAGAATTATATTTTAAATATCAATTTCTGTTAAATATATTAATCTCCCGATTACAAAATAATATTTATAATCTAATTTCTAGTAGATGTAATATACTTATATGTAGATTGGATGATCTCATAATATCAACATACTTAAAATGTTAAGATCATATACGTAGTAGGCATTTACAGATGCCATGGTATTTCCGAGGCTGTCATCAATGCCAGAACTTCCTATTTTATCATAAGTACGATCAAAATAAATAATTACCTTCTAACTTTGTTATATAATAATATTAAAGATTGTGAGAACTGTAAATTTACAGCCAACAATTTCATAATTTTAATTGTAAATAATTTATTATACATATCGTTAGCGTAATTATTTGTACCAATAAATAAAATAGTCGGTTTAAAATCAAATTAAGTCCGATGTCAGCCCTGGTCTAAATGAGCTTAAGTCATGTAAACGCAATTTGGCTCAAACATATTAGTCTAAGAGCTAGCAATGTTTTCGAGAAATTATTTTAAGACGTCTGGCTCTTTGATATATCTTTTACTATGCTCTCTGGAACAGCATGCGGCCGGCCTGTCTGGCTGTCGATACCCGTTGCGTTCACTACTGTGAATAATTCTGATAACTAAAAAAAACAAATATTTAATACTTTACTTTCAGAATATAAACAAAAATAAAATAAAAAAGTCTTTGCCTTGACCCGGATTCGAACTCTGAATCATCGCATCGGTTCGTGGTCGGAAACTCTACGCACTGCGCTATGGAGACATGTTCGATTTGTATTCAATACTAGAATTTAAAGGACTAATAAAAATATAGGATCTTCTATCAATGCGCAGTAGGGAACGCAACGTTTACCGGCAGCCAGACGGGCCGCATGCTGTTCTAGAGAGCATAGTAAAAGATATATCAAAGAGCCAGACGTCTTAAAATACTTGTTTTTCCGACGTTGCTAGCTCTCGTACTATGTTTGCGAGAGTTTGGATAGTTTAGAATGTTATGTCCATAGTGACGAAAATTGATTTTGACAGTTTTGCTATTATAGGGTAGTCTATTTAAACTTAATAAAGATAGTAACAATTAATTGATTCCATTAAGCGACAATGAAAAACTTGAGTTGCAAAAGCATGCTTTATATGTGAAAGATTTTTTGAAACCCACCATCAAAAAGTTGAGAGAGAACACTGCCACCTCACCGGAAAATACAGAAGTGCGGTTCACGAAACCTGTAACATAAATTATAGATCACCCAACTTTGACACTATTCTATTTCACAATTTAAGTGGACATGATTATCATATGTTTATTAAGGAATTTCGTCGTCATGGAAACAAAATTGATATTGTTGCCCACAGTAAAGAAAAGTATGTCTCGCAAAGAAGTAAAAAATATGTTTAAAATTGAGATTTATAGACAGTTTAATTTTTTTTTATCTACATCTCTTGCAAATTTAGGAAATGGTTTGTTTATTGAAAATATTAAGGAAACCAAAAAACATTTTCCAGAAAAAGAAAAATTCGAATTGATGCGTCGTGAAAAGGTGTATTTCCGTATTTTTTTATGGCTAGTTTGAAGAAATTGGAGGACTGTTCACTTCCTATCAAAAATTAATTTTATGATGATATAAATAATGAACATATTAACAACGTGGACTACCAAAGAACAAAAGAAGTCTGGCCATTATTCAATTGCAAAACTCTAGAGGACTATCAGACTTACACTTAAAATCTAATATCCTTTTTCTATGAAAAAATCTGTATTTTTGTTATAGCAATAGAGGCAGCATTTTGTTAATCTCAATTTTGTGCCACTCTTCTATCATAAAAGATGGCGCCATTGGAAAAAATATTGATTTGCCGGTCCGGTAATCTGATTTTAACTATATATAAAAATATATACGTATTGATTTTCCGATTTGATAATCTGATTTTAACTATATATAAAAAATATATACGTAAAATACACGTAAAAAATCTGTTTCCTTCAGAGACTTAAACTTTTTTGTTATTAGCAATAGAGGCAGTATTCTATTAATCTCAATTTTATGCTACTCTTCTATCTTAAAAGATGGCGCCATTGAAAAAAATATTGATTTGCCGGTCCAGTCCAAGGTTACTAAAAGATGAGGTTGTCTCGTAACTCGAACCGCCGTTATCAGAAACGTCATCTACTACGTCATAGGGATGCTACCACTCATAGATAAAGAGGTAAAAACTGCCGACTAGGGTTAGGAAGTAGTTAATTAAGATGTAATTTACCTGATTAACTATGTGTAGTTTTTCTTCAAAAACTACGCCTGTTAACTAAAACTAAACTACGTATTGATATTTTGTAAACTACGATTGATATTATGAATAATTTTCCTTTGTATAAGGGGTCTAAATAATATGATGTGAATGGTTATATTTAAAGCAATATTTTTTCTGTTTTCTTAAATACATTATGTGTTTTATAAAGCTTCAACTTATTATAACCTCACCTCAAACCTTTGCTGTTTGAGAGTTACATACATAGGTTACATTTATTTATTTATCGTATGGTTCATATACATGCAAGAAAACCAAACACTTAAACATAGACATAAAATAAACTACAATGTAAATGAAAATATTACAATGTAAATAAAAATATTAAAATGTAAATATAAAAAAACAAGTATATTATAAAAAGACAATATAAAAAACGTATTTACGAACACTATATATTAACATCTAGATGCCCTATCCATTCCAAAGCTGATGGAGAAGCCTCCAGAAAGTCCCTCCACTCTTCACCATAAGCGCGTAGGTTGCACTCTCTAGTTATGTGATGGATGGTTTGGTGAGGGGATCCGCAATCGCATTCTGGGGAAGGTATTTTTCCCCACTTATAAAGGGAATCCGCACATCTTCCATGGCCAGAGCGTATCCTATTCAAACTATATATTGTTGACCATGTTTTCCGGTTTAGATCGGTACCCGGTGTCTGGCAATAGTTATTTTTGAACCAGGAGTATAGGTGCGCATCGGCCATTTCTCTCCATAACTGAAGCCACTGTTCTCGAGAATTGTAGTTACTGCTTTTTAGTTGTTCAGCTGTTCGCAAAGGTTGATTCCTCGACTTAAGTCTATTCACTGTGTAAAGCAGGAAGTGTTTCATGAACAAGTGCTATTATTTTATCAAATTCTCTAAGAAGAGCCTCGTTTTTTGCGTAGATTTGGAGGTAGGATGTTACTCAGAACTGGAAGCCAGTAACTAGTTGTGCATCTGATTGTCCCTGTAATCAGCCGCATGGTGTTGTTCAGATGTCTGTCTACGAGATTTGTGTGGTGGCTGTTCAACCACACGGGTGCACAATACTCTGCCACACTGAATACCAGACCAAGGGCGGAGATCCGAAGTGTTGTTGCTTTTGCACCCCAAGAAGTACCACAAAGTTTTTGTATACCACAAAGTTTTTGTATAATGTTTCGTGTTCTGATTTTACCAACAACATTTTCTAGGTGTTTTCGAAATGAGAGTATACCGTCTAGAGTAATCCCAGATATTTTGGATATTTATTATTACGCAGAGTGGTGTTACCAAACTATAGGTTACATAAACTACACTCTCTACATAAACTACATTAACAACATGTAATGTAGTTTATGTAGTTTTTAAAAGTAACATGTAGTTTTCCGAACCCTGATGCCGACAGCCCGACAGTGCATTTCCCAATCGATATTCATTGTACTTTATTGTTTATAGTGTATGGCGTCAATAGTTTTCAGTTGTTTGATCTGTGTATTGCTGTGATCTTTATTGTACTGGCCATTTATCTCTCTCTGTCGATTGCATTTTATTTTTTATTCCTTTATCTTCCTTTATCTATGATTTTATACGTTCTGTTGCATCCCTGTGACGTAGTTGCAGCTTCGCTCCTATTGGTCCAAAAGTTACAAGGCAACCTGTTTAATATAGTAACCTTGGGTCCAGTCAATCTTTAAAACTGTTCTGATAACCTGATATTAAAGCTGATATATAAACTATATTCTATTAAAAATAGTGCAACCGTGATTATAATGGCTGGTCAAACGATAAATGACCGACTTCTCACTGCAAAACACATTTTGACTGGCCAGGGGCTCGCCAAATCTGTATGCAAGGCAACTACTGAGGAAATATTGGCTCCGAAAAAGAAGCATTTAGACTACCTAGTACAATGCACAAATGAACCTAATGTTTCTGTACACCAAATGGGCAATTTATTAATTGAAAGATCCCAAAATACAAGTTGCATAGTTGTTTTCAAATCATTGATAACTATCCATCATTTGATGTGCTATGGAAATGAAAGATTTACACAGTATTTAGCTACTAGTAATGTGTCCTTTCGCCTCTCAAATTTTGTAAATAAGACTGGTGTACAGAGCACCGTTCGCGCAAGGAATGCCATGTTTCCTTTTATTAGAAGATATGCTAAGTATCTTAACGAAAAGGCATTATCATATCGAGCTGCTGCTTTTGATTTTTGTAAAGTAAAGCGTGGAAGAGAAGAAAGTACTTTACGTACAATGGATGTAGAAAATTTACTCAAAACCCTACCAATATTACAAAACCAGTTAGATGCTTTGTTAGAGTTTGATTGTACTAAATATGATCTGACAAATAGTGTTATAAATATGTGTTTTACGCAATTATTTAGAGATTTAATACGTTTATTTGCTTGCTATAATGATGGTGTAATTAGTTTATTAGAAAAATATTTTGAATTAAATAAAAAACAATGCACGGATGCATTAGATTTATACAAAAAGTTTCTTATTAGAATTGACAGAGTAGGAGAATTTTCAAAAGTAGCAGAAAATATTGGTTTAATAGATAAAGGAGATATTCCTGGTGTTACTAAAGCCTCAAATAGTCTTTTAGATGTATTAGAACAGCATCTAGGTTTATTAGAAGGGAATAAACCAACTGCAGCTACAAACCAAAAGAATTTAGAATCAGGAATGTCAGTATTAGCAAATACAAGTTTTGCTTTTGGATCAGCCATGGATGATACCTTTAAGGAAGCTGAGGTAGCAGTAGAAGAAGTTGCTTTGGATGAATATAGGCCTCAAGTATGTTCCCCAGGTTTGAGTAGTACAAATCCATTTTTAGGTGAAGAAGAATCAGAAAAACAAGACTTGATATCTGGAACGATTTTAGACTTATTTGCTGAAGATAATTTAACATCAGCGACTACGGCTCCAGCTGTAGCCCAAAGCAATGTCATGGATGATTTGCTCTCATTAGGAGGTAAATTACAAGTTAATGAACATTTTGTCTTGCATAGATGATTTTTTTTTCATATCCCTGGGGCCATAGGCCTTCAGCACAAAAACTTTAGAGTCGGTAATTAACACCTTTATAATTCTCTTGACACATAAATTACTATAACACTCTCTAGCTAAAAACGATGGACTTGCGGATATATTTATTATAGACCTTTATGTGTATTTTTGGGTCCTAAATATGTATCTGAACTTCCTCCAGGAGGTGCGAGACCTTGTCGTTGGTGGGGAAACTCCTAATAAGGTGCTAGGTTGTACAAGCAGCCATAGGGCTGGATCTAAGGAGCATTTCATTGTCTTGTCCCTGGCTGGTAGTGTCATGGCCAATTTAATGGCCACGACTCTATAGCTTGAATTGCACCAAGACGCATGACCGTGGGAATTGCACCATGTATAACGATGCCGGATGGGACTACCCTGTCCGTCATGCCAGGCATCCTCTACTACCTGTGGTCATGTATCACGGGCATAGAGTGTGGGGGGGTCTTAGGTCACCAACAACCTAAATCCTATAACGGCGGGACCAGGTTAAAGGGATGCGTGGCTAGATAGAAGACTAGCCTCTACTGGTCTCAACATTGGGACACCAGAGGACAACTAATTGTATTCTCGTCTCCCTTACTTCTAAATGCAGGGCTCTGTAGAAGTAGACCGACTAACCCTTGCGGTGTAATTGACCTCAAATCCAAGGAGGTAATAACTCTCGTAGGAGGTAGATGTAACTCTCGTAAAAGGTAGATGCCCACGCCTCGGAAGATGAACAACTATTGTGACAATAGATGTTCATGGATAATGGACAATAGTCATGGCCGGAACAGCGATTTTGTAATAAGAGATAGAACCTGTTCTAGTTGCAAAATATACCTGTTCCAAGAAACCTGTTGCTGTTCCAAACTGTTCCAAAACGTAAATTAATACCCTACTGGTATCATTCTGTTTCGGTTCTCCCTGTTTCAGTAGTAGTAGAGTGTTCTCCGAATTGTTGCCGACGTTGGACGTTACCGTTACGGCATCCTCGAGTTTTAAATAAGTGCTAAATATATTAAATAGCGGCAACGCCGCGCAAACCATCACATTATTTGTTTTTTATCTCTCTTCTCTATCCCGATAACAGATAACAGCTGAACGGTCCCGTCCGCTAGACTAGAGAAAGCGATATACGACCTCGATTCTCAACTCAAACCAGTTATTTTTACTTAACTGTTCCAAACAGTTCCAAGTCCCTAACTGTTCCAAGTCCTAAACTGTTCCAAGTCACAAACCAAGCATAGTTCCAAGTCTCAAACTGTTCCAAGCCCCAAACTGTTCCAAGTCCCAAACTGTTTCACGTCTCAAACTGTTCCAAGTCCCAAACTATTCCACATGAATAAAACAGTTCCAGTTACACTCGTCTTTATATTTATTTTTCTATGCTAATTTTTGGCCGCTGTGTTTTGAAACAGCTGGAACAGTTGGAACTGGAACAGGTACAGGATAGCACATAAACCTGTTCCAAACCAGATCCAAAACAAACCTGTTTCGAAAATAACAGATCTTGTTTTAAAGCATCATGACTACTATTGTCAGAGACAAATGGGAAATACTCTGTCCCCCTTACAACAGGAAGATCCAATGTATGATGAGTTATAGACTGTATGATGAGCTATAACTCAAGAAAGGAAACTACAGTAAATCTTTAATCATCGCGGTGATTAACACCCCCCCCTCTTTTTTTTTGAGGGGGTGGTAAAAAAACCTTTTATAGGCGAGTTGTGCTCGTTCCCATCACCATCTCGAGAGAAACGATCATAGAGACGAACCCCAAACAGTGTGGGAGTCGAATTGTTACCCACTAAAAAAGTCCACCTCCGAGGAGTCAGCTCCTCCTCTCCCCCTTACCCGAAACCACCGCATGGCATTACTTCGGGTTCGTACGTGATCTTGGGGTTTATATCTTATCTATGTCATTTTTTATCTATATTCTATTCTATTTATTTTTAGGATTTCTTGCCTTTTCATCTTTTCCTTTCTCTATTATTATTTCTTTCATAAATGCCCCTACCTTTCCCCATATTTCGCTAGTTTTGGTCATTTTTATAATCAAGGTGTCCGAAGTTAACATTCCTACATCCGACAATAAGGCAGACCTTCCGTTTTCCCATCTCGGACAACAGAACAACGTGTGCTCGGCATCGTCGATTTTGTCGCAGTACATGCAGTTACCATTTGGTATTTTCTTTAATTCTACATGTACCTGAAGTATTGACATTTTCTCAGGAATCACCGTGTATTTACTTGCCTATTGGTAATAACACCAATTTATTATTTAGTAATAACATCAATTTTGTTTGCTTGGCAACAAAGCTTACTAATCAACAAATGAGAATCCTAGAGTTTTATGTTATGAAAAGATAAAGAATAAAGTATGTGATGAACAAGTGATATATCATGAACCCCATTGACATAGATTACATTCGAATTAAAGTACGGTCTACTCTCGGGTTGAATGGTAACGATCGATGCTTTTTGTAAGTATCGGCTTTCTAAATTCATTAATTGCTTAAGTTCTATAATATTAATTTTATATCTACTGTATGAAGATTTAGTGAAATAAATAAATGAAAACGATTCATATTCGAATGTACTTTTAGTATAAAGGCGGGTTCTCACTTGTCAGTTTCGTTGATTCAGTCCAACTGATTCAGTGATACTGAACAAATAATGAACGTCAGAACACATTTTGATGTTAAATGATCAGTACATTCGTACTTTCAGTTAAAGTGAAAACCAGTTCTACTTTTTTTTCATTTTTAACTGATCATTATCGAATAATGAATAGAAACTGAAGCGTGAGAACTAAATTTTCGTGATTTGTTCAGTTTACAAGTTTTGAGGTTAGATTAATAATTCGCGTTAACACATCGCACATTATCATAAGTTATTCAAAATGGTTTTCCGATGGCGTGATGAACACATGCATGCATTTTTGGACAATTATAGAAAATATGAGTGCCTTTGAAATATCACTAACGACTTATACAAAAATAGGGTAGAACGATAGAATGTCTATGTCCAACTTCGCAACGACATGCAAATACCAGAGTTAAAGGTCGCTGTTATTAAAAACAATATCAAAACGATAAGAACAAATTACTATTAATTAGTTAAAATGTTTGAACCAACTGAATACTGAATGTAGCAAAACATGAAACATGTGAATACAATCGTTGTTTTTAATTTTTAATTGATAATGAATCAGTCAGACTGCGTCAGCGAAACTGACAAGTGAGAACCCGCCTTAAGATGATGTTAGACATCATCAGTAGCGAAAAACTCAAACTTCTATTATTTTTTTTCTAAACGGTTTTAAAAGCACTAAAATTGCATATTACATTGATGAATATGAATATTACAATCGCACCAAATTGCCATTCCTGTGACCGTGTCTTGTTTTTCCTGCGAACCGTAATCTGTAAATATGAATAACAATATTTGCTTAAGTTAAGCTGTTTTCACAGTGCGATTCTTTTCACAGTTTACCTACCTATGATTTTTTTTTTATTTATTTCTAGGTATTTTTAAACTTTGGTTACGGTTTTGCGGATAATATTTTTAATCGCCCAATGTGTATTTTTTATATAAATCCAATATTTATATTTGAGATTGGGGCAATATACACATATACAGAGGGTCCGGCAATAGTGGGTCAAACAACTCTAGTTCAAAGAATAAAAAACTTAGGAATTTTGTTTAAGTGCAGGCCTAAAGTATGTGTTAGGATGTATTTCAGGAGAATATTTCAACTTCTACAGGGTGGCTCAAAAAAATGTGAGTGGATTGTGATGACTTTTTTAAATGGAACATTCTGTATATTATTGCATTTTTGGCTTCCTTTCAGATCACTTTACATAATCCTAAAATATGAGTAAATATATTTCGATAGTTTCAGAGATATTAATAAATAAATAAAAAATATATACATACGTATATATCTTCAGCCTTTTTTAAAAAAGATATTCTTGTTTTTATTCTTACTCTTTTTTTTTAATGGGACACCCTGTATATTACTTTTTTATTAGATGGAGAATTAAAAAAAAGATTTTTTTGTATATAGAGTACTTCAAAATTGTAAACAATTTCGCAAATTATCGCAGTTTTATATCTCATATGGCATTTTCCACAGTAAATGTTTACCAAAGCCACCCAATGACTTTTCTCCCGTATTTTACCGTTAAAAGCGCCATATGAAATAATACTGCATGTATCTACGAATCCATTAAAATTTTAAAAAAATTTTAAATACAAAAAAATTTCATTTTTTAACACGCCCTCTAATAAAAAAATAATATGCAGGGTGTTTCATTTAAAAAAAGAAAGAAAAATTATTTTATATTTTAGAAAGTTAGAATAAATAAAAATATTTTAGAAAGATATTCTGAACAATAGCCAAAAATGCAATAATATAAGAGTGTTCCATTTAAAAAAAATTATCCCAATCCACTCACTTTTTTTGAGCCAGCCTATAGAAGTTAAAATATTTTCCTGAAATACATCCTCGTGCATAATTTAAGTTTGCACTTAAACAAAATTCTCAAGTTTTTTATTCTGGCAGCTACAGATGCCAGACGCACTATTGCTAGACCCAGTATACTTTGTATATAGAATTAATATACTAAATCTATATTGGACCGTTAAAAAATAATCTGTCTGTGTTTCTGTGTTTTCAACATTTGACCATTAAGCAAATATTATATTTAAGCAATATAGCTGTGTTCCTGTATTCTGTATATGAGATATAGTTGTAAATACCATATTATGGTATTAACAAAGGTATTAACCAATTGATGTGTCTTACCCTTGCCTTACAAATCCTGATTTATGCTTCTGGCATGGATATTGCTACAAAAAAATCCTTCAATCGAAAAGAAATCCAATTTTGCTACAATTTTTTTATTATAATAGCATTTACCTAATTGTACAGAAAATTTTTAATAATTATGATAAAAATATTAAAAAACAGTACCAAA